GTATTTTAGTAACGCCCCTGTGATTATCAGGGGTACACTGATTAAGTTTAGTGGGATACCCAGGTATAACCGTAACTTGCACTCTAATTAATCCCACGGCGGTTGTGAATTGATACATCACAGCAGATGTTAAAATTAATTCAGAGCCTACTTTGTAGACGCCCAAAAGCCAAGCAGTGCCCTTTTATGTTTTTTTGTTGTGTAAATTCTTTCAATATATATTTGGATTTCCAACTGGACAAACTGTGGACCTATGCTTCAGAGATTTTTGCTTTTCTTTCTCTCCCTTCCCTGTTTTGTTTTTTGGTAACTGGGTATACTCTGGGAGAAGGCGTGTCCTCTGTAACCTGGTACTTATAAATTTTTTCTACCAGAGAGTCTCAAATCAGTGTCATCAGGATTAAGGGGCTCCCCTTAGCAATGGTTGCATTATAAGGTTTAAGAACCCAAGATTTAAGTCGAGTTTGAATTAACCCCTTTTCTATGCCATGAGTGTTGTCCCCCTAAATATGAAGGTCAGGACCTTTGTTGTGGTATAGTTAAGTTCAGTAGCAGCAGCACTTAAGGGTCCCCATGAGCCCTGTGCTATTAGGAGTGTGGACTCAGACTGCCATCTAATGGCTGCCTTCCCCCTCTCTTCCCTTTCTCTCCTGTAGTTTCAAATGATTTCTTTCAGGAGCAACCACATAATGGGCCCGGCTGTAGCACAGGGTATATAGTTCCTCCTCCGAACCCTGCCCTGTATATCTGAGGCCAACCCAACATCAGTCGAAGCTTCACTGTAAACACACAGACATGTCCTGGCCAAGATGGGAACCCAGGACCACTTTAAGGACCGTAAACCTGCTTCCAAACACCAAAGAATTATCAAAACTGCCAACCTGGATTGGCTAAATCTAGAACCCAGGGCTCAAAAATTCAAGAAACAGAGCAGCACAGCTCAAAGCACAAGCTCCCAGCAAGCAGCAGCTTAAACTACATAAACTAGCCAGCAGGCAGCAGAACAGGTTACCAAGTCAGAGCAAAAGAAGATAGACACAGGATGGTGGTCAATGCCAAAACATCCTGTTCCTGTTGCCAGTATCGTGGTCACTGGCAGAGGTGTGGTTCCCAGGCTGACACTGATGGCTATGCACACTCACGCTGAGAGCATATGAAAAAGCTTACTCCTCACATGACAGGTCTCTGGGGAGAGCAGAGCAGGCCTCTCAAGCAAATGGCTTGAAGAGCAAGGAAAGAGCCTGGCTTAGGTTTTTATTGTGGGGGGGGGGAAGGCCGAGTGAGAACTCCCCCTTCTCATGGGCAGGAGCTCATGTGGTTTGAATCTCCTGCTGGAAGCAGAGGAGAGATTCCCAGGCTTTATCCAGGTGTGTGGCAAAAATGGAAGAGGGAAGAAGTTGAAGGTGTCAGTAGTGAAACTTCAAAAAATGTGCAGCTGAACTACTCATTACAAGAACAAAGATGAATAAGAAAAATATTAATTTGCAATTGCTTGTTTTTATGTAAAGAAACACTAATAATCAAAACGGTTATTTGGGGGTGGCCAGAGCAAGAGGACTGGAGTGGACCAGGATATGCTGGCATCAAGTTTTTCAAGTTAGGCATTCCTGTCTCGTGGATTTTTTTTAAACCTTCATATGCACTCATTTAAAATGATTGGAAAGGGCCGAGCCCGTGGCGCACTCGGGAGAGTGCAGCACTGGGAGCCCAGCAGCGCTCCCACCGCGGGTTCGGATCCTATATAGGGATGACCAGTGCGCTCACAGCGCTCACTGGCTGAGCGCAGTGCGGCCGGTCTCAAAAAGGACAAATAAATAAATAATAAATAAAAAATAAATAAAATGATTGGAAAAATTTATATATACCAAATTATACTATTCATTCATTCATTCATTCATTCATTCATTCATTCCTTTTTTTGTCTTTTTTCGTGTCCGGCAACGGAGCGCAACCCTCAGTGTCGCGCCCATACCGGACCGGGACCGGCAACGGGATTGCAACCCTCGGTGTTGCCCTGAATAAATATTTTTAAAGGTTTCATAGAATCCCCTGTGCAAACATCTGAGACTGGTGATTCTTATTGTGGGGAAACTCATTAATTACTTTTATATATTTTTTTTCTATTTCTTCTATGAAAATTAATCGGTTTTGACTTTCTGTCTCTGTCAATTTTAGAAAATTGTATTTTTCTTTAAAAAATTATCTATTTCACCTCACTATATTTATTTGCATAGATCTGAGCAAAAATGTCTCACAATTTTTAAAATATCCCCTTTTTATCCTTATTGCTCTCTTGTCATTTCTAATTTTACGAATTTGTCCTTTCTCCTTTTATTCCTTGATTATATTAAGTAATGGATGTCTACTAATTTTTTTTCAAAACATCTTTGGGGTATTTATTAATTTTACTGTTTTAATTTTACCTCATTAATTTTTGTGTTTGTCACTATTAATTTTCCTTCTGCTTTCTTTTGACATATGTTGTTCTTTTCTAGCTCTTTGAATTTGGAGCTTAACTCATAATTATTATTATAACGAATGCTGTAAAATTTCCTCTGATAATTGCTTAAGCCATATCCCACAGCTCTAATTTATTGTGTTATCATTTTCAAAAATTTTGCTATTTTATTTTGCACTTTCTTTTAAACCCCCAAATCACTTAATAAAATGTTTTAAATTCCCAGATTGAAGAGCTCTTTTAACATTTTGTCATTAATTTCTATTTTGCTACATAAAGCTCAGAAAATGTTTTATTTCTTTTCTTTTAGAATTTATTAAAGTTTCTTTGTGGTTTAAGATACAGTCAAATTTTCATGAATGTATGAGCACTTAAAGAGAATATATAGTCTCTATTATCAGTGTTCAGAATTCAATATATCTATAGAATTGTTACAATTAGTTGTTACATTGTTTAAGTCCTCCATATTCTAACTTTTTTCCACTTGACCTCTCTTGTATGCTCATAACACTAGGCAGCTTTTACCTTGAAGATCAATTTGCTTTGATTTAAATTAAAGTTCATAGCTCACCTTTTTTTTCCCCTTGAGATTCTCACATACATTATTCTAGTATCTTATGGCATAAAGCAATACTATCATAAAGTCTAGAGACAATCTGATTTTCTTTCCCTTATTAATGACTTTTTCTTTGTCCTGAATGTCCAAAGGATTTATTTTCTTTCTTTTTTTTAAATAAAGTCTAATCATTTTACTAGACTATATTTTGGTGTTAACTGTTCTGGTTCAATTTTCCCAGGAACACAGTAAATCTTTTCAGTATATGCTTTCAATTTTTTTTTTTAGGAGCATTTTCTTAAATCATAGTTTTCAGTATTTATTCTCTTTCATTGCTTTGTTTTACTTCTCTAGGGGCTCCTTTCATTTGTATGATGGATTTTCTTTGCCTATGCTCTATACAGTCATGTGTTGCTTAACAACAGGAATGTGCATATGTTCTGAGAAATGTATCATTAGACAATTTCATCACAGTGCAAAGAAAATAAATCTTTTAAAAAGAGTCATCCCTGGCTCCAGGGGAAAAGTAATAAACAAAATACTGCGTGCATGTGAAATGTAGAATGAAACACAAGTAGTAGATCACGATCCTACGAACCCGAGGGGAAAGATGGCGTTTGGGAATGCCGGGAGGGATTTGGAAATTAGGGGATTTCCTGCCCGACTTGGGAAGAGCTATACTGTGGGGACGGGGTCGTGAATATGGGACTCTGCTTCCTATACTCTTGGAAGATTCAAAAACAAAATGATACCCACGGGAGAAAGGAGGGACTGGGGACAACACGGACCACAGCTCCTCCCCCCGCATGACCCCCACGGCCCGAGTTGGGGTG